AGGAGGGGAGGGGTACGGGAAAAGGATGTAGTGGAGGGAGAGTTAAGGCCCGGTTCTGCCTTCCTCCCTCCCCCCAGCCCAGCGGATTTCCTTCCCGGGGCAGTAGCCAGTGGCTCCAGGAAATAATTGCCCTTATCAGCCCTCACTCTGAACAGTAAGAAAGGAAAGGTCTCAATTCTTCCCTGAAAAAGGAAGGGAATCTCAGTCCACTTTTTGGTTTTTCAAATAACCCTTCTTAGCACCTCTAGGGCTCATCCTAACATCCCCAGGGCTCTTGATTTCTCTCCTGATGCAGTTCTTGGATCTTAGTTTACATAAGAATGCCCCAGTGGAGTTAGTCAAGGATGCAGCTTTTCCTTCTGCCCTGGAGTCTATCAGGTGTTTGTATGGTTAAATGACACTCTTTAGCAGTCTGATGAGTGTCTACCTTTTCGTACCACTTATACTTTTTACCTTGGGCATGGAGTGGTCCTGACAAATCTTTCTGAAACTCTGGTGAAAAATTCTAAGCGAGAGAAGGGGAGCCTGAACAGAAGCTGGGGTTTTCCTCCTGAGTGGTGAGGGGGCAGTGAACCACAAAGATGAAGACTGGATCTGGTGTGAAGGGATGGAGGCTGAGCTCCACGTACGTTCCAAAGGGCATCTAGAAAGGTGTTTGTTTTACTGGGATGTTTTTATGGCACCCTGCAATCTTTTAATTTTTCCCTTACTCATTCTTTTCTAAAACCCTTGAAAGATTCCACTAGGGCTGTTCTTGCCTTTAGAAGTGTGAGCCTAGTGAAGCAGGAAAGTTTCTTTGGGAGTAAATAGCAGACTAGAACACCCCCACTCCACCCCAGCCCATCCAGACGCTGCTAACACAGAGAGGAAGGCTGGGTTGAATGTCCCCCTCCCTATTCTTCCTCTCAGGATTGGGCACACACCTGGCTGGGATAAAGGAGTCAGGTCATTTGAAAGGCCCATCTCTCTCTTACCAGGTGAGGGCATCCAGGTTCTTGACGTCTTGAACAAAGAATTGGATAAAACGCACAAACAAAGCAAGGAAGGAATGAAGGGATTTACTGAAAATCAGTACACTCCACAGTGTGGGAGTGGCCTGAGCATAGGGGCTCAAGGGCCCTGTTACAGAATTTTTGGGAGTTCAAATACCCTCTAGACGATTCCATTGGTTACTTGGGGTACGTCCTATGTAAATGAAGAGGATGAAGTAAAGTTACAGGCATACACCCTATGGAGAGGATTTTTTTTTTTTTTTTTTTTTTTTTTTTGAGACGGAGTCCTCTTGGCCGCCCGGACCTGGAGTGCAGTGGCCGGATCTCAGCTCACTGCAAGCTCCGCTGCCCCCCCGGGTTCACGCCATTCCTCCTGCTCAGCGCCTCCATCGCGAGTAGCTGGGACTACAGGGCCGCGCCGCCACCATCGCGCCGGTCTATTTTTTTGTATTTTCTTAGTAAAGAGACGGGGTTTCAACTGCGTTTAGGCCAGAGATGGTCTCAGATCGATCGCTGACCTTCGTGATCGCACCCGTCCTCGGCCTCACCCAAAGTGCTGGGATTTCACAGGCTTGAGCCACCGCGGCGCCCCAGGCCCCAAGGAGAACGGATATTTCTGTCATAGGCTGAAGTGTGAATCAGCCTAGTGTTACCTGCCTTCAGCGCTATTTTTTTTTCTGGCCTCATCTATCTCTTTTTTTTTTTTGAGAGCGGAGCTCTGCGCGTCTGTCGGCCCAGGCTGGAGTGCAGTGGCCGGATCTTGCCTCACTCGCAAGCTCCGCCTCCCGGGTTCGCCATTCTCCACCTGCTCAGCTCCCTCCAAGGCGCAGCCCTGGGACTACAGGCCGCCCGCCACCGTCGCCCGGCTAGTTTTTTCTAATTTTTTTAGTAAGACACGGGTTCACGCGTGTTAGCCAGGATGGTCCTCGATCGTCCTCGACCTCCGTGATCGCCAGTCCTCGGCCTCCAACGAAGTGCCGTGCGGATCTACAGGCCGGAGCCACCCAGCGCCCGAGCCTATCTATTTCTTTCTTCCATTCCCTGTGCCACATGGAAGGGTTCCTTTGGGTTTCCAGGGACTGTCAGGTGTCCTAACCAGAGTGACTCCATCTTGAATAAAGGCCAAATAAAGCCAAACCTGCTGGGTTACATTCCCCAGGAACTGGGCACTCTTGGTCATGAGATGTTTATGATTGAGGGAATGAGTTAAAGTTGCTAACTAAAGACCCAGAACTTATGGAAATGCCCCAATATTTTAAGAACAAAAAGCATTCTTAGTTTAAGAATAGATTCTGCTTTAAAGATAACAGTGTACTCATAAATTCTGGCTGAAATCAATAGTAACAGGAAAATAACAGTACCAGCAGCCTGTCACAAGCTGATCACAAGCCTTTGTAATTAAGTACACAATTCTTATACAAACTACATAAGCAAGCACTACGTTTAAAGTAGTGCTTTCCTCCTCCTTTTTTCTGAGGATGCCCTACTCTGTAATTGAGTAGTCTCTAATTAACTATCTTAACTTCATTATACTCTGCAACTTACCCTGAATTCTTTCCCGGGCAAGATTCAAGAACACTCTTGGGGTCTGGAACAAGACCTCTGGTGTCAGGACTGGGCACCAGATCTGGAAGAAGCAGGACTCAGGCCAGGTGCGTTGGCTCACGCCTGTAATCCCAACACTTTGGGAGGCCAAGGCAGGCGGATCACCTGAGGTCAGGAGTTCAAGACCAGTGTAGCCAACATGGCGAAACCCCGTCTCTACTAAAAATACAAAAATTAGTCGCTGGGTACGGTGGCTCATGCCTGTAATCCCAGCATTTTGGGAGGCCGAGGCAGGCGGATCCCGAGGTCAGGAGATGGAGACCATCCTGGCTAACATGGTGAAAACCCCATCCTCTACTAAAAAATACAAAAAAATTAGCACGGTCAATGGTGGCAGGCACCTGTAGTCCAGCGTACCCAGTGAGGCTGAGGCAGAGAATCACTGAACCCCAGAGCGCAGAGCTGCAGATGAGGCCGAGAATTGCGCCACTGCAAATTCCGAGCCTGGGCAACCAGGAGCAAAGACTCTGTCCTCCAAAAAAAAAAGAGAAGAAGATAAGGAAGAAGGAGAGGAGGAGG